TTTTGTTTATTCATATCGTAACAAACAGAGATTTTCAGTTTAATTTAGCTCAGATGCCGGCAAATATCGTCGAATATCTACTGAAAACAACCCAGTAAAAAAAGTCGATAAGCGGAGCTTGCCTAATAGTACATTGTAAGATGCGCAAGTATCAAATCTGAAACACGTCTACTGAACATTAATCTTTTTGTCTATTTTTCATGATTTCAGATCAGGAATATTCTTAATCCGATCGCTTTAAAAAACAGCAACTCAGGAAAGTGGTTTGTGGTCTTTGTGGAGTSACTTACCTTCCTCAGGTGATGAGGGCTCTGCAAAATTRTAGAGACAACATCAGTTTTATGCATACATCTATACATTCGATATTACAGCCTTTTGCAAAAATTATGAGAATTGTCTAAATATCTAAATATCATAATATCCATATCCATATATTGTCCGGAACACGGGGGTTTGCTAGAATAATTCATTGTTGACATCGAGAAAATGTGCAGAACTACGGATAAGTCTGTCGCCAAAAAAAACTAAACAGCAAAGACAAGGGACTAAGGGCATCGCACGGGATTGCCCATCATGCACTCGATATTATGATATTTAGATATTTCAACAATTCTCATAATTTTTGCAAAAGGCTGTATACATGTAAAGAAAGGATTTAATTCGCTACATTAAACATACCAGATTCACAATGCTTTCCAGTGTATTCATCCAAACACTGACACCTGTAGCTTCCCGGAGTGTTGATACACTTGCCGCCATTTTGACATGGATTCGCTATGCACTCATTAACATCTGAACATAACAAGTTTCAAAAATGTAAGTCACTTAAAAAGAAAGTCAAAATTCTATCGCCATTGTCTCATCCTGGACCTTCTTGCTTATTCAATATCTGGAACAAAAATGCGTCGAACTTACCTTTTCTTAACAATAACGTAGCTTAAACGGTATGGTTCATTTTAATGAAAATGGGGGTACAAATTAATGGATCAGCTCTTTCTCCAATTTACAGTGTCGTTTGACAATGCAGTTTATATTTGCGATTAATGAGAATAGTTTACCTTTTTCACAATCTTTTCCTTCAAATCCAGATGCGCATTTGCAACTGTATTCTCCATTATTGTTCACACATTTGCCACCATTTTTACAAGGACTTTTCAAGCATTCGTCTATATCTGCAAATGTATTTATATAATAGATTAGAATCAAAGTAGCCCATAAGCGCTAAGCTAATACAGGAAATCGTCGAGAAATTGCTTTACCTTTGTCACAATCTTTCCCTTCAAATCCCGATGAACATGTACAACTGTATCCACCATTATTGTTTACACACTTGCCACCATTTTTACAAGGACTTTTCAAGCATTCGTCGATATCTGCGAAAATTTATTTGATAGATTAGAATCAAAATAGCTCATAACTAGTATTAAGATAATATATGAAATCGTCGAGAACTTGCTTTACCTTTGTCACAATCTTTCCCTTCAAATCCCGATGAACATGTACAACTGTATCCACCATTATTGTTTACACACTTGCCACCATTTTTACAAGGACTTTTCAAGCATTCGTCGATATCTGCGAAAATTTATTTGATAGATTAGAATCAAAATAGCTCATAGCTAGTATTAAGATAATATATGAAATCGTCGAGAACTTGCCTTTGTCACAATCTTTCCCTTCAAATCCAGATGAGCATGTACAACTGTATCCACCATCATTGTTCACACACTTGCCACCATTTTTACAAGGACTTTTCAAGCATTCGTCGACATCTAAGGAAATATTTTTCTTAAAAACCAACTTTCTAAGTAACAGGGTTGGACTTAACTTAGCTTATAGGTGTGTGCGCAAAAGCGAAAATGTTAGTGCAAAACAACTAAAATTCACCTTTTTCACAGTCTTTTCCTTCAAATCCAGATGGACATGTGCAACTGTATCCACCATTATTGTTTACACACTTGCCACCATTTTTACAAGGACTTTTCAAGCATTCATCGATATCTAAGGAAAAACAAATTTTCTTAGAAAACAGCTTTCTAAGTCAGTAACAGGAGCTTACCTAACTTATGAATGTAAGGGCCGCGTGRCACTATGAGATACATAATATAGAAATAAAGGAAAGTTATAGTGCAAGAAAGGAGGTTCTTACGGAAGAAAGAACTTTGGAAAAAATTTCGGAAAAATTAATTTTTATACCTCGCTGGGATTTGAACCCACGACCCTCGAATTTGTGCTACCGATGYTCTACCAGCTGTAATTTCCAATGGTCTTTCTCCTGAAATAACCTCCTTCCTAGCACTATAATTTTCCTTTATGTCAATATCTTGCCTATCTTAGTTTACAGGGGTGTGCGCAAAAGCGAGACTGTGAGTTCAAAACAACGAGAGAATGATTTACCTTTTCCGCAATCTTTTCCTTCAAATCCTGGTAGACATGTGCAACTGTAGCCTCCATGATTGTTCACACACTTGCCACCATTTTTACAAGGGTTTTTCAAACATTCGTTGATATCTAAGAATACATATTATGTTAAAGAATCCAAACCAAACACAATACAGTGCGCGCGTGCGCTCGTGTTATTCTTTATATAAGTTTAAATGCGTCAAGCATACAATAGAYTATAGATTGATAATACCTGTGGGGTACTTAGTTAAAGGAATTTCTGTCTAAACTGAAAGGATGGAAGACGATTCGCGCACACTTTAAGAAATCCTACGAATGCGCCATTTTTGTGTCAACCTAAAATGGCGCTTCGGCTCGCAAGGTACGTCGATGAGTTGAGAAACGTAATACATATCAACTAATAACCGAGAGAATACCTTTTTCGCAATGTTTTCCTACAAATCCTASTGCGCATGTACAAGTGTATCCTCCATTATTGTTTACGCACTTGGCACCATTTTTRCAAGGAGTTTTTAAACATTCGTTGATATCTGCAAATACCATTGATCTTAAAATTTTGCTAAAATGTTTGGTACGGAAAATGATATATATATTTATTACTCTCGTGTTCACCATCCAACTGTCAGTACAAGCTTGATGAGATGTATCAGGAAAATACTGACTTGTCTATATACCGTATATATAATGAAAAACAAGAATTCAATTACCAACCTTGTTCGCAGTGCTTTCCTGTAAATCCGCCTGGACATTGGCAACTATAACTGCCTTTGTTATTGATACACTTGGCTCCATTTTGACATGGTTTATTCAGACATTCGTTTTTATCTAAAAAAATCCGAATTAAACGAAAATAGAATGATGTAATGAATACATGGATTCTACATGTAAAGAACAATTCGAGAACAAAACCTTGTTCGCAGTGTTTCCCTGTAAATCCGCCTGGACATTGGCAACTATAACTGCCTTTGTTATTGACACATTTGCCTCCATTTTGACATGGTTTATTTAAACATTCGTTTTTATCTAAAAAAATCCGAATTAAACGTAAATATTGAAGGATGTAATGTATAGATTTTTTTAAAAGCGAAGGAAGAATTCAAGGACCAACCTTGTTCGCAGTGTTTCCCTGTAAACCCGCCTGGACATTGGCAACTATAACTGCCTTTGTTATTGACACATTTGCCTCCATTCTGACATGGTTTATTCAAACATTCGTTTTTATCTAAAAGATAGAATGATGTAATGAATACATGGATTCCACATGTGAAGAACAATTCAAGAACCAAACCTTGTTCGCAGTTCTTTCCTGTAAATCCGCCTGGACATTGACAGACGTAACCGCCAATATTATTCAGACACTTGCCTCCATTTTTGCAGGGACTCAAAGCACAATGATTAACTAAAAGAAGCAAAAGAAGAAGAAAAAAGAACAAATCAAAAATATTTCATCCACAACTTTACTACTAAAACCGACATTACATCAAGCGACATCTCCGAGCGACCATGTATCATATTCATTATCATATAATTACATAYGAAAGCAAATTATGTCGTAAAATAACTTTTGTCTTACTTCAACTATATAGAAAAACTATAGAAAAAATATATGATAAGAGGTTTCATTGCAATTTACTAGCATATTCTAAAGTATTTCAGGAGTCATTAATTTGTTTTGCTTTGAAAATATATATTATGCTAATGACAAGAAGACATTGACAAAGGAATTATTGCTTTTAAGATTGCCTTCATTAAATTARAAAATACTGCGTAAAAATSATTATTCAACTATAAGTGAAAAACACTTTTCATTAAAGAATATACCTCCTTGA